TTTTTTTTTTTTTTTTTTTTCCATGAAATTTCGGGAGAAGTACCTGATGCCCTGTCAATTGGAGCGTTGGATTGTTCTCATGTGAAGATCCAATCACCAGGTACGAGCTAATACATACCATATAGTATGCTAATTTTCAAAGAATATAATACAAGGGAAATCAAAAAAAAATTATGCAACCAAAATATTTCAAGTCTCATTAGCAATATTGTAATAATGAAATTGAATTGCATTTTTTGTCTTTTTGTAAAGTGTAAGGGTGAATAACAACCCCCCTGAATTAGCCAATCAATCAAACATTATGTACAAGAAACCATTTATTCAGTTGAATATTTTTATGCCTTTTACGAATTAACTTTCTATAATTTAAGATAATAATTTAATTGTTGAAATTATTTGTAAACTTTCGAAGTTTTATGTCCATGCTTCTTTACGTGTAATATAACAAGTATAACATGTGAAAGTAAAATTATTGAAAGTTAACGTTTACATTACTGATTGATAAATAATTAGTAATTAATTAGTTGTTAACTCTTAATTATTTTGTTATATTTATTACAGGGGGAAATAATGCTGAAACTTACAGAAATAGGAAACAATTTTTTTCTATTAATGTTCAAGCTATATTATGTGGCTCAGATTTGAAGTTTTTGGATATTGTGGCGCGTTGGCAAGGTTCTGCTCACGATTCTCGAATTTTCAAAAATTCGAAAATTTGTGCTATGTTTGAACGTGGTAATTTTGGAAACGGTATACTACTAGCTGATAGTGGATATGTGCTGACAAAATATTGCATCACACCAATATTGACTGTTCAAACACCGGCAGAAAATTTGTTTAACGAGTCACAAATACGAACAAGAAATCCTATAGAAAGGACATTTGGTGTATGAAAACGTCGTTTTCCAATTTTAGCTGTGGGTATTAGATTACGTGTGTGGAAAACACAAGCAATCATTGTAGCAACAGCTATTTTATATAATATAGCTGTAATTGAAAATGATATTGTACTACCAAATTTGTCAGCTGATTTATAGGAGGCTGTTAATTATGTAAATAATGTAGCTGATGACGGAGTAGTAAATAGACCTCAAAATAATAATATAAGAAACCCTTACATTCAGTACTTTCAAAATTTAGTTTAATTTAATTTAATTTATTTTAGTAACTAGTTAAATTTATATACATATAGTTCTTATTAAGAAGTATTAGTAAAAATTAATAAAAAAAATTGATTAAATTGAATTTAAATTATAGCATCTCGAGTTGGTTTTTTTTAATAGCTAATTCACATTGCAAAATTTGAATTTTCAAATCGTACTCTTCCTGCAAATGCAGCATTTCAAGCTTCAACTTTTCATTTTTTAATAAACTTGTTTTTTTTTCTCATCAGCTAATTCATTCCATTTTTTGTTGGCTATTGTGCCAGATGCTTTCACTTTTTTTTGGAGAGCTACGACAAAAAATTATAAATAGCAAATCAATTGTTATCAAAATAATTTTTATTTTATAAGTTTTGCTAATGTTTCACATTCCGATGTAAAATATTTTTCTGGGAGTTTATATACACATAATATAATGACATCCCAATCAAATATTTAAATAAATAGCTCATTATATTTAAATAAAGATTTTTATTTTTAAATATTATTATAAATATAATATCAATAATATATTTACGTGTGTTGTTCGATCTCATAGTTTCATCTATTATTATTTCTGTTGATAACGTTTCATTTCCAACATTACTCACGCCAGCCTAATAATAAAAAGTACCTAATTATATACTATTATATACAAATCTAAACTCGTAAATTTGTCTACATTAGACTCACGGAATAAATATCAGATGGTATAGTAATCAATAACGGCTTAGAAACTGGTATTTTTAAAAGTGCCGGCGAATAATCATCCCATTTCAATACAGTGTCATCATCTGGGGAACTGCTTTTCTCTGGTACTGTATCAATCCATGATGAAGCCTCTAAATCTAAAAATAAATTTAAAAGATAATTATTATTATAATTATAAAAATTGTATAAAAAGTAAATATATACCTGAAACAGCATCGCAATCAAATAAGGCATCATCTCCCGTAGCTTGTATGTTTATAAGGGAAAGTATTTGGTTTTCTGTTGCAGAAAAAGTTGTTGTTGGAATAGGTGGACCTCCACCAGTACCTTTGACATATTTTTTTTCGTTGCATACTTTTGATTTAACATTTTTTTTGCAATTTTCCCATTTTTTCCTTAAAACATTAGTCGAGAGATTTTCCATTACAGAGTTTTGTGAGTTAAATTCATCTGTTAACTTTTCCCAGCATGCATTTTTTTGTTTCCAAGTTTGAGTATCAGACTTTTTACTTTCTAATTGGTCCCAATACTTGGTCACAAGCGATTGTAATAAATCAACTTCAGTATGAGTGAAGTTTGAATTTCTCTTTTTCAAAATTTCATTCTACATATTTAAAAAAAATTAAAATTAAATAAATTATTACATATATTATATTAAACAGATATTATTTTATTTTCATATTATTTTAGGAATAATTTTAGTCATCATTTGAATAAAATTGATTGAAATTTGAATATTACTAGATAGAAAAAAATTATAAAATATTATTCCGTCGACTGGGAAATTAATTCTTTATCGTTCGCGTATACGTATAGTTAATATTAGATTATTAATCTATTGATATTTTTAATAAATACACAATGAGTTGAACTTTATGTTCCTAAAAATATGTTAGTTTATACTACATTACTTTTATAACAATAATAATATACTTATTTGAAAATATTTAAATCCCTCCAACAAGCTGATAGCTTGTGGTGGAGAATTTACAATTACCTACACAAAATAATATTTTAAAATTAAAAAATATAACATTACAAAAGCGTTTAAATATTTTTGTTTCAAATATAATTTAAAATGTATTACATATTAAAAATGTTATATATTAATTTTAAGAATCCTACTTGTAAAATAGAAATGTTTGCACCAAAATGTTTATTAAATTTAGGAATAATTATATATACATATCTATACGAGTCATAATATGTATGTCCCCATATAATTACCCAGTAATTCAAAATTGATTGGACGAGCAATATATATATATAGGTTAATTTAATTCTATATTAAATACATTTTTACATCATTAAAGTCATTATTTGCTTATTATAATATTTGTTATAATTTGTCTTTTTGAAAACTCAAATGAATAAAGCTATGGAAATAAACAAAGAAAACATATCACAAGTAGAGGACTATGAATATACTGTTCAGTACAAGGACGAATCATTCAATGTTAATATGAAGATTGGGATTTGTTCATGTAATAAGGGTAAATTGGACAGTTTTGTGTTCATCAATGTGCTATTTACGAGGTGTGATCAAAAAATACAGGGATTTTTTTTTTATTATTTATTTAAATATACAAATAATATTTCAAATATTAGTCTCCTTCAAAGTAATCACCACCCGATGTTATACACTTGTTCCATCTCTCCTGCCACTTTTTGAAGCAGTGTTGGAAGTCTTCAACTTTAAGTTGTTTGAGTTGATCCACCGCATTCTTTTTTATTGTTTCAATATCATCAAATCTTTGTCCTTTGAGGTCAGTTTTAATTTTTGGAAATAAAAAAAAATCACAAGGTCTGGTGAGTAAGGGGGGTGAGGTACAACTGGAATTTGTTTATCAGCTAGAAACTCACGGATTGATAAGGCAGAATGAGCAGGCGCGTTGTCGTGGTATAACAACCACGATCGATTTTGGAACTGATCTGGACGTTTCTTACGGATTTTTTTCTCGTAATTTAATTAAAACTTCTTTGTAGTTAGTCTGATTAACCGTTTGACCAGTTGGAACAAATTCGTAATAAATAATATCGAAAAAAGTAATCAACATGGTCTTCACGTTAGAACGAACTTGCCGAGCTTTTTTGGGTCTTGGTGAAGTTACTGATTTTCATTGTGATGACTGTCGTTTAGTTTCTATGTCATAACCATAGACCCAAGTTTCATCACCAGTTAATACATTTTTAATGAACTCTGGGTCATTTTGTGTTCGTTCTTTCAAACTTTGACAAACTTGAATTCGATGATTTGTTTGATCTTGAGACAACAATTTTGGGACCATTTTTGCACAGACTCGTCTCATGCCTAAATCTTCAGTCAAAATAGTTTGACATGATCCAAAAGAAATGTTGCACTCACTAGAAAGTTCTCTTATCGTCATTCGTCGATCTGATCGATTAATTTTTCGTACTTTTGCCACCATTTCCAAATTTCTTGATGTTGAAGGTCGTCCAGCACGAGAGTCATCATTAATGTCTTCACGACCCTCAATAAACCTTTTATGCCATTCAATGTTTTAGGCCTGCTCATCGCTTCATCTTCAAATGCTTTTTTAATCATTTCAAAAGTTTCAGTCGCTGATTTACCGAGTTTAATTTAATGCAAACACGCTGCTCGAGTTTATTCGACATGACAAAAACGGCAGACACAATAAAAGTATCTGACTTCAATGAATTGTCGTTCATTACTAACAGTTAATATTAACTCGCGATTTGAATAACGTAATTGAGTGTTATCTCTATTTTTATTTGATGTGTGTATATTCCCGATTCGATTATTTTTAGCGCAGATATAATTTTAATCCCGGTATTATTTGATCATACATCGTACATACATTTTGATACATTATCACAACATTTTCCTGCTGTGACTTCAAGCGATAGACATAAAATTGCTTTATTAGTAGATGGAGATAAAGCTCTACCAGTAGAGTTTTTTCAGTCATTTATTTTGGATAATAATGTTGCAATTACAGAAAATATAAATAATGAAGAATCTGTTCAAATTACCAATGTCATATCAAATAATACAATCTCAATTAATCAAAATAATAGTGCAGCCACAACCAATACAACCAACTCACAACAAATACCTCAAGAATCTATAAGCAATATAATTGATTTATTTAAAGAAATTCATCAAAATTATGGATCATCTTCATCTGGCCTGAACACGTTAGAAACAAGATTAAAAAAAATTAAAAGTAAAGGAAACTGGGAATCTATTTTGCATACTGCAGGAAACCAAGCAGTACAATTGAGGGGAAGGTCAGCAGCAGCAATAAGAGTACAGCCAACTACAATAACAAGACGTTTAACAGCAGTAACCAGAGGTAGTAAACGTTTACCATCAGGAAGACCTCCTAAAAATGAAATTAAAATAAAGAAAAGGCGACGAAATCTAGGAGAGAATATAAAACAAAATCAACCTAATGCAAAGTCACATGGTAGTGGCCATTAAGAATAGGTTTCACATGAGGTTTTTTTTTTAAATTTTTAACTCATACATTAACAGATTAAGATGTTATTTACATTTTTATGGGCTTATATATTTGATTTTTCTAAATATAATAATAAAATGGTGTGTAGGTAATAGGTATAGATATCAATTATTATTTTTTATACATGGTAAGGTTATTCATTATTATTTTTATAATAAGTAGTATAAATTATATTATTCACTATGTATGCATACATTGGGCCTAGCCGCCTAGGTACTTTATGTATGTTTTTATATTATTATTTGTATTTAGTGATACATTTTTCTTATACATATAGATATTAACATAATATGTTAATATTATTTTCTTTGAGTAAAAGCTAAATATTACCTAATTAATAAAAAATCCATCATAAATGTTAAAATTAATATAGTTATTATTCATATATTATAGGTATAATATATATTTCATCCGATCTTACCTGGAAGACAGGACCCTCCTAGTCGGCGAGGCGCTTACAGCTCGGAGCACCACCTGCGGAGTTCCACAGGGCTCCGTCCTTGGACCGTCGCTGTGGAACGCGTTCTATGACGA